GGATCGAAATGAGTTCTTATTTGGGGAAATGATGTTCTTTCACAGATGCAGTGCCAAAGGCTGTCAAAAATAAAGAAAGAACATACATCAGGACAATTTCTTTTCCTGTCGTGGCTGTTTAAAATAACTATCTCAGCAAACTGAGGGATAAGTTAAAATTTTGAATATTTCATTTTTAAATTTTTTGTGAAAGCAACAAATGCATTTTTTATCCTTTTTATATGACAAGGCACTGGATTCTTTTGCACTTACTATGTATTTTCCACAATGGATTATCCAATATGAATAAATTGGTTCGGGATATAATGTGGAAATACGTTAATAAATATCCTAAAACTTGAAAGACTATGCCTACCTAAATAATCACAGTAGTAATTAGGCAATGAAAAATAAGAAAATACATAGAGCTAACATACTTTGGCCCAGATTCTTGATTAATCTGGCCAAAACAGACTATGTAGAAGGCTTCTGGAGCCCATGAGATCCTACCAAATGTTTGAACAGATAGAGAAAGAATTAAAAATCAGTTCTCATCTGTCCTCTAAGATAACACTGTTTACCCGTCCGTGAGTCCCAGGAATATTTTCACAGCCATTTAGCTGAAAAGTAGCTTATATGAAAGAGGTTATAACCCTTTTGACAGCTCTTTGTCTTGGCCAGTGCAGTCAATAGCTTCTGAATCGTTTAGGCAAAAATGCCAGCAGAGATCAAAAGCCTTCATATTGCCATTCTGGTGTGTGTATGCGCTTTCCTCGCAGGTAGTAGACCCAGCGATTTACGCTCCATTCTGATTGACTCTGAGGGTGCATCATGGGTGTGGATGACATGGGGGTAAAAATCTTCTATTGTTTCAGTGTTCACAGAAATTGTGTATAATTCATAATGCTTTCCTATCATTAAAAGAGGATATAAACGGGCACTCGGAATATTTCACATACTCTTTTTTTTTTTTTTTTTTTTTTGGCTTGTGACCTAACCATCAACTCAAAATACTGGTGCCACCACCACAGTTGAATGCTTACTTGCCTGTTTCCAGTCCTAACAGAGGGTCCTCATGTGCTCTGGCTTCTTCGGTCCCCATCCATGGTCTTCCAATGAAGTTTCCATTGACCTGGGCTCCTTGTGCCTCTGGTGTAATTAGCTTAGTTTCACCTATAAGTCAGTTAACTTCTGACCATTCAAGGACTTACTGCTGATTTGTATATATTCCATTCTCTTTGCTCCTCCTTTACTCTCCTTTACTTTGTTTGTTCTCATCACGTGGGGGGCGGAGGAGAGAAAGGGAGAGAGTGAAAGTAAACCTTAGTTCATTTGTTTATTTCTTAACACTGCAGAGGAAACACATATAGATTTTTGTATTTATGTACAATGCCTTGATTTAGTGTATTATAGAGTGTACAGGAGCTGCAAAATTCTCAAATAAAATAAAAGAATTGCCTATGGATTTCTCTGATTAAGTTCCTTCGTTCTCATTGTTATAAAGGGTTAAGAGATGGCTGTGTTTCTTTTTTGCTATAAAATTTTAACTAAATTATATAAGAAGGCATTTAGCCTTTTTAGCTATTTCTACTATTCTCTGCATTTAAATTAATGTGAAATTTCCTCAGAGGCTTTCCAGCGATCATCAAAATAAACCATTTATAACAATAAATGAAGCCACATTTATAATTTATAAATATATTTAAATTTCTCTAGCCTTCCCTTTAAGATTTTATGTATTTATTTGTTAGAGAGAGAGAAAGAGAGTGGGGTAGAAGAGCAGAGGGGGAGGGAGAAGGACAAGCAGATTCCCCACTGAGAGCAGAGCCCAATGCAGTGCTGGATCCTAGGACCCTGAGATCAGGACCAGAGCCAAAACCAGGAGTCCAAAGCTGAACCGACTGAGCCACCCAGGCACCCCAAATTTCTCTAGTCTTTTTTGTACATCTAGGAGAGATGTCTTTAGTGTATAAACACTTCTGATCTTAGCACAAAATTTAAGAAAAATGTCACTTTGCCTTCAGATTTGAAGCAAAAACTGAAAAAAAAAGTTGTTAAATAATCAGTGAGATATGGAAGTGACTGCATATTCCAAACAGACCTATTAGAATACCTGTGGCAGTTATTAATTTTTTAATGTCAATTGATGGGTAAAGGGTAAAATGTTTATCATTGGGTTTTGGCATTTTTTGGTCGGCTATTTTTAGAAAATGGTATTTAGAATCTTTATTTACATATGGGTTACAGAGATATTTTTAGGCCTGCATGTGACTTAAGCAACATTTTGGCTGGAGTTGCAAAAAAGGCGAGTATTTTCCTTAAATAGAAGGTGTTTATCAAATGCCCATATGGCAAAATTGAAGCATTTGAGGCTTTGCTTTGGTCTTTGAATCTCATTCTAGTTTTAACATCAACTTGTTGTTCCTGTGCTCTTACACAGTTGTTCTGAAAATATATCAGAAATATTTGAGCAGATAAAAAGTAAGATTAAAATTCTTGGATAAGATAGTCCATTTATCATACCAGTTCCTAACTAGAAAAAAAAATGAACATATCTACTCTTAGTTTAGAACATTTAAACCCTGCATTTCATTAAAACTCTCAATTCTTACTAGCATGAAGTATATGATGAGGATTTTATATCCATTCTCCCCATTCTTCTCTGACAGACAAAGTGAGGTAATTATGGAACTGTGTTTAAAATAAAAGCATTCCATCAGGGTGGGGGGAAAGATTTATGTAACATTTAAATAAAATCTTTTCTTTAGCTCTTAAGACACCATGTTAAAAGAATGATCCACAAATGAGCAAGTAAAAAGTTGTCATTCCGTGGAAGTTAGCAGCTGAGCTAATTGGCCGACTTTGGCAAAGATGACCATATTTGAGAGAGAAAGTGCTGCTTTTGGTTTGTGAGGTAGTGACAGAGTTCCTGCAGGAGGTTCTGTTCTTCTTGAGAGGGAATTAATTTCCTGTAATCAAAAGCTGTGGATTATGGTCTTTGCCTCCTTCCACCGTGGCCACAGAAGCAACTCCACGGCCTTTTATTCGGCAACATTACATTAGCTTTTGTGAAACATGCAGGAATATACTCAGAATAGAAGGGTTTCACCTGATACAATTTGCAGCTCCAGAACATAGCCTCTTGCTGCTTTGAGACTGAGGGCTGTACTTTGTGAGTGACTCTATTTGTAAGGCGTTATTTGGGGAACGAAAGGAAAGTGACAGTGAGAAACCCCCATTATGCAGAGGAAGTCTTGGTGATGTTTGAAAATGGAATTACAGAGCAGTACAGAGCTATGGCTGGTAAATGACTACCAGTATTTAACAGGCACTTTTGTAGAAATATTAAAAAATAGCTCCTAAATGATGTTTAATAGTCATAATTTTAGTCTTCTTGAATTATTCAATTTCTATATAAACACACACACACCATTTATATGCACATATCTATCTGTATCCGATACATATTTACAACCTTGAGATTATTTTAATTCATCCTTGAGATTATTTTAATGCATTACAAAAAATGACATTTTGAAAATTATGGCATTTTTAATTCCCTGCATCTGAAAAGTAATCTTTTTCTGTAAGACAAAACGAGGACAGAGATTCAGGGAAAGAAAATATAATCCATAGAGAAAAATGACCTGAGGGTCAGAGATAGGATTGGTTTTTATCTCTGTACAGTTACTATTCATTTAAAATATTAAAAAAAAAGTTTCTTATGTAGAGGAAAAGAGCTGCTCCTCGCTCTCCAAACCCCATTTACATATTAAATTCCAGGACTTTTTCTCTCCATCTATCATCAATTTCAGTGCCTGACTATACCCTGGAGAAGACAGTAATGAACCCTGTAATCCATTTCTTATACCATGGAAGAGTTTATTTATACATTGGAAAGACTAAACGAGAATTTTGTCAGTTGAAAAAAGTGGGCTAGCCAGTCCTTTATTCATTATTATGTATTAAGTACTAAATTCTGACTCATATCCGATTTAGATAGTCTATAAAACTGAGAAAAAATATTTTCCTACTTCACCCTCCCAAATATAGTTTTGGTGGTCACTCAGCCACTGCCAATGAATAAGTGATACACACTACACTTATATGAATAAATACACCTCCGACAGAAAAGGACTTAGTGTTATTTTAGTTTGCAAAGATGTGACTAAAATCATGCTTTTATTAAGGAAGCATGAGAAGTCCATTCAGAATGCTTGGATTATCTTACTGTTCAGTACTGTATTCATTACTGTATGATGCAATCTGATTTTTTTTATATATTTTATTTATTTATTCATGAGAGACAGAGAGAGAGAGAGAGAGAGAGAGAGAGGCAGAGACACAGGCAGAGGGAGAAGCAGGCTCCATGCAAGGAGCCCGGCGCGGGACTCGATCCCGGGTCTCCAGGATCACGCCCTGGGCCTAAGGTGGCGCTAAACCGCTGAGCCACCAGGGCTGCCCTGCAATCTGATTTCTAAAGTATTACTAAATTTAGGTATCATAATTCAGAGTCTGGAGTTAGCCCTAAGTGTTCTGTATGAACATCAACTTGATTGCTAAACTAATACCCTCTGATAGTATAAGGTAGTGTCATTATGATTTCATCTACCGTGTCGGGTTTATGATTTTTCACCTAACACATCAACGTGGCCCTTAAGAGCTGCATGAAGCTTATCTGGGGCTGCACTTAGAAAATCTTGTTAACTGATCTGTGATAAAGAAAAGATAGCAACAGATCTCCCCCCCCAAGTGCTTTGATTCATAGTCCCTAGTTTTTAGTGACCGTGAGGCACAGGGACTGCTACATTTAGCAGCAGTAGACTTTCCCTAAAGCAGTAGGTGTTATTCCATTAGGCATGGAAATAGATGGTAAATGTTAGGTTGTATGTATATGTAATTATATACATATATAATATGTACAAGTAATATCCACATATCCATATTGTAATGTTCTAGCTCTCGGGTGTTGGGTGAACTCAGTCATCACACGATGTTCCTTCTCGCCCTCTCTCCTACAGCTAACCCAACCCGAGCAGGCGGGAGAGAGCCATACCCAGGCTCAGCAGAAGTGATTCGGGAGTCCAGCAGCACCACGGGCATGGTGGTGGGGATAGTAGCTGCCGCCGCCCTGTGCATCCTCATCCTCCTCTATGCCATGTACAAGTACAGAAACCGGGATGAAGGCTCGTACCATGTGGACGAGAGTCGAAACTACATCAGTAACTCAGCACAGTCCAATGGGGCTGTCGTAAAGGAGAAACAACCCAGCAGTGCGAAAAGCGCCAACAAAAATAAGAAAAACAAGGATAAAGAGTATTACGTCTGATTCCAAGATCTTAAAAAGACCCTTGTATAGAAATAGTCTTCATTTTATCTGAGACATAATATAAACTTATTTACTTTCCTTTTTACGAAGCACATACAAAAGAAGACAGGGAATGCAATCAGGAAGGAAAGACTGTTTTTAAAAAATAAAAACAAGTATCTCATGCTCTTGTTTCTCCAAAAAGAAAGAAAAAAAACAAAACAAAACAAAACAAAACAGGGGCCAATAAATTCCCTAACATCCACAGTGTTTTCATTTACTCTGCCTGTCTTTATGTTGCTGGAACATTCCTAAAAGACAGTGATGACCGCACGCATTCATAAAGCAAAGGAGTATTACAACATCAAGGCACAACACAAAAACAACACAACACACAATACAAAAAAAAAAAAAAAAAAAGAAGCTACCTATGATCCTGGATTTAGCCAAAGTGCTAGCGCTTTCCTGAGTTAGTCCGATTGCCAGAGAAGACTGTGTCATTTTGAATGACCCAACCTGCAAACCTTTGGGTTTGCCACCTGGCCGCAACTGGAGCAGTGGTTGGAACTTGCATTTGAAACAAAGTGCTGGCTTTTTTGAAGACTTGTGTAGGAACACATTCAAAAAGCCCCTTTCTGGTGGTGAGGGAAAAAAAAGTATGGAGGCCTTATTTTCAACCATGTGAAATATAAGGCACATTTTCACACTAAAATTTCAAAACAACAAAACAAAAAAACAAGAGGGCATAGATGCAATCATTGGGAAATTTTCATGCACGCTTAATATGTTATTACATATGTTTATATAAAATCCATCTCTGTGTGCTTTCTGGACTGTGATAAGTGACGTTTTATAGCCTGTTGTATAGAAAATGCAAAATATATCTCTGCTCTTCAGCCATTTTTGGTAAATTCAATGTTATAAGTGTTGCTAAGTATAGGGAGTTTTATGACATCGGAGCAACAATTATTTCAGGGTTGTTTTTTTTTTTTTTTTTTTGCCACCATTATAAATTGCCACAATTACTTACTTTTTTAAAAAAAATTACAATGTAGTGTTTATTCTAAGGAAGATATGTATGAATGTATATAAAAAGACTCAGCTACTTTTTTTTTCTAACATGTACAGCCTTCATTCTGTTGCAATTAAGTTTTAGTATTTGTATGAAAGGTGTGAATTAGAAGGTAAAATATATACATATGTATCTTATAATCTTCTTTTCTCCCCTAAATACTCACATTTTCCACATACTTTCATCATTTACAAACGCAAATACACACACAGACACATACACACACACACACACACAAATCCAGAGGAATCCATCAAATATGATGGAAAACCCAAGCATATATATAACAGCAAATGTTTACTGACAAATTGATAAGCAGGAAGGAAGGAAGATAGTTGTGCCAAGGTATTGATGACAAATGGGGTGATTTGCTTCACTGAGATCATGCTTCCAAGAAACCCTGAGAATATTTTAGTCCCTAATGAAATGGAACCTTTTCTTATCAAATAGAATATCACTGGCATATTGATGCATGAATATGAACCATTTTGTGGGGGAGGCTAGTGTATACCTTAACCACCCTGGCTGCCGCAATTAAAAATTTTGTTTCCAATAAAATTATACATACGAGATTTTATATATGTATATAAAATCTCTGCTCTGAACTTGATGTGCATGATAAATACTTTGGAAAGTAAACATTTTCTCAACTAAGAAAGTATTTTTAGTAATCTTTGATTCTGTATTACTATCCATCTTAAAAAATCATTCTCTATTTGTTGATTATTGACCATATTTTAACTTTTCTGGTTTTCATATATATCATTAAATATAGTTTTAGTTTAACACACATTAAGTAATAGAAAAATACAGATTATACACTTGTTTTGCATATTGTTTCAATGATGTTCATAGCAATAAATTATTAATATGAGCAGGCAATGCAAAGGAAATGCATTATTAGATTGGAAGGTGATGCCTCAGTAAAAATTGGTCGCATTACTTTAAAACATCTCCTAAAAGAATGATACTAGATTTCATAAAAGAGAATACCTTTACAATTAGCTTTAATCAGCAAAGGCAAAAAAATGCAAAACATCTTTTGTGATACTTTAGGTGATGAAAAAAGCCAAAAAGTGGCCTGGATTTCAGACATACAGCACCTTAGAAATATGTGTAATTCATAGCAAATCACCACTATCTATGGTTGCCAAGTAATTGTGTTGTGTGAAAAGTCTTAAAGGCTTTTCATGACCCAGAAAGTAGAGGTTTAAAACTAAAATTTAGTATCTATAACTTGTGTTTCAGATTTTCTTCTTTTTTTTAAATTTGCTAGCTTAAAGAATTCATGTCTTTTTTTTTTTTTTTCCTCTCATTCAGTCTTACTCAGGGAAAGCCAGTGAAATAAGAACGTAAATATGAAACCACTAATTTACATCTTGAGGTTTTAAAAAGAAATGGTTGCTTTTCCGTATGATCTACTGAACTCAACCTAGTTTCCAACTGGAAAGATTCTAAAATATGATAGAAAATAAATTAAATAATGGTATTTTTAAGCAGTATATCTATGAAGCATGTTGTTTGGGATTGATTTCATTGTTTCTTTCCAGCATAAATTTTAAAACTTCATGTAATGATATAATCTAATATTGTCAGTAAAAATACTTCTAATGTTATTGGCCTACACAAAATCTAGCAATCTTTTTCTTTTTTTTTTTCTTCTTTCTTTCTTTGTGAATGGAGAAAGAAAAGAGAGGAACATGAGCTAGAGAGAAAAAAAAGACATGAATAAGATCCCAAGTATCTTCATATCAAATGTATCAGGGTTCCATGAATAGTTTGCAGTTAACAGGATTTCACACTACCTGGCATAAATTTGATTACATCTCTAGACTGTAACTTTTCTGATTGAGTATGCTTCTTTTTTATCCATGTAATGTGTTGCCTTTTTAAAAAAAACAAAAAACAAAAAAACAAATACTACAATAATGTGTGAGGTGGTCAATCCCCAAGACATTAAAGAAAGGCCACATGACCCTACCCTTCTAGTGCTTTGTGTGATTGGGTATCTAAGGGTTTTGTTTTGTTTTTTCTGTTGCAAGGCCAATTTATCCATTATTGGAAATGCTAAGCAAGTGGAATTTACTGTTTTGTTAATAAAATATTTCTTAATACAACTGTGGATTTATTGATTTTAAAAAAAAGTGTATGCGGCACCATTTTGGGAAAAGTGGCCCAGTAAGGAAGACTGAATTTGAAAGGAAAACCTGCCCTTTAGACAAGCAGGGGATGAATACTGCTGATCTTTTTCTGGGTTTTAATATTCAGTAAGCACATCTACATTCATAGATTTAAGATACAGTCACTAAATGTACCTCTGTTTACATCTGTGCATCTTGCTCTCCAGGAAACTGCAAACTTGTAAGAAGTAGTTAAAAACAACATGAAGATGCTGATTTCATACGTAGGATTTTCTCTATAAAAAGCAGTATAATTCAAGTAAACCTGTGATTAAATTCCAATACTATCTTTTACTAGCTACAAGTTGACAAATATAATTTCTCTCACTTTTCTCATTAGTAAATTAAGGGTAATAATATCAACCTCATAGGGTAGTAAGGATCATAAGAACTAATGTGCCTTGCACAACTAAGTATAAAGAAAAGGTGGCTACTTGTATACTATAATTTTCCATAACAATAATTCAAGAAAATATGTCAAAAATGTTTGCTCAGGTTGTGCTATTTGAAAAATAAAAATACAAAAAAGTGTGTAAAGGAATATACTTTTTCATCTCTTACATACTTTTTTTTTTTTTTTTTTCCGCAAAAGCAAAGTAACTGTGGAAGTGAGATGACCCATCACTCACTTTCTGTAAGTTTCAATCCAACAGTTGGTAACTGATTTAAAACTCTGGGCTTTGAAAATAATCTGATAGGAAAGCAGGAGTTTGGTCATTTTCTCCTTTTTCACTGAAAATGGTTTCAACATGAGTATTTAATCTATATTACACCTACCTTGTTCTAGACATGTGTTATTTCTTATTAACTCATAACTTTTAAATATAATAGGGAAACAGTCTACCTCTTCTTAATGTCTAAGTTAAAGGCTATGTAATACAGCTTACCATTTTAAAAGCATGAAATTTTAAAGATGATGAAATAAATAGTACAAAATTTACCAGTAGTAAACAGAATTCAAGGATTAGGAACCTCTAACAATATTTATTAATAAAACTTGACAGATATATTCAGAAAAGTATTTTCTCAGGAAGAGAGCCTAATTGGGCTCATCAATCTTCAAAGGACTTCAAAATTCTCTAAAATATTAAGAATCAAACCAGCAAAACAGACATTGAATATAAACAAAACTTTGTTATAAAAATAATGTGGAAGAAAATGGTTCAGTGAGGATCAAAAAAGCATCAAGAAATATCATATATTTTTACAATGTACACGGACAGTATCCTTTTCTATATAACTTGTTCAGCTACCTGACTTTTATATAAATTAACTTTGCTTCATTTTTACAAGTTCAACCTTCAAATATTTATTGAGACCAGTATATGTAAATCACTCTGTTCATCTCATATCCACTATTTTGGACAATGTGATATTCATTTGAAGACAAATGTCTCCAAAGATTGGCATAATTAAGTATTTTGAAGATCCATTGTACATATCTAATGCACAGCAAGGAAGGCTCTATCCACCAAAAGTATCCATCCTGTGGAGGTCATTGATATTCCAGGGTAGTAGATGGACTACAAAAAGACACCTGATTGACCTCAAAATTAAATTCATTGGAAAGGAGGAAATAGTTCTTTGTGAGGCTTATACAAAGAAGATGCTTTGACCACTTCTTGATAGTTTGTCTTTTATCAAGGAGGCTGAGTGATTCTAGACCAATTACTGAGTGCTGTTCTCCCAAACAAGACAGCAATTCTGGGTAAGGAACATGGGTATTCAAGTGGTAGCATCCAATGTTCCTTACCTGAATTCCAGTTCTATGAAAGAAATGGTGATGGTTTCTAATGTACCAACCTCATTTAAGAGTGCAAAAAAAACTACCTGAAGAAACAGAATATGGAGCCACATTATTGATCCTTCAGTAAAAATAGCAATAAATAAATGGGGTCTTTTAAATACATAAATAAATGCATAAATAAGTTTTGTTGAATACTTCTGGTATTTACTGCTTAGAACAATGAGTTTTTACAGTTATAGAAACTGGTAATGATCTGTCATAAGCACAGAATTTAGAGCAAGATGTTTGGAACCTGAAGTCTGGTTTGAAAATCATTCCACCATATCAAGCTTATTCAGATAAGTAAAATAATGAGGTGCACATGGGTGGCTCAGTTGGTGAAGCACCCAACTCTGGATTTCAGCTCAGGGCATGATCTCAGAGTCCTGAGAGCAAGCCCTGCATCGGGTTCCCCTCTGGGTGTGGAGACTGCTTGAGATTCTCTCCCCCTCTGCCCCTCTCCTCACTCATGCACATGTGTGCACTCTCCCTTCCTCTCAAAATAAATAAAATCTTTTAAAAAAAAATCATAAGTGTGATAAGGCAACTTTTAGTTTCTGAGTTTTCAAATATAATGTGTTTAAATGCTTTACATAGTTAGAATTCGATACTTTACTAGAAGATAAAAAAGTAAAGTTTACCTCCTTAACAGTATTACATGGAGATGTTCTGGGCAGCTACAAAGAGAGTAGGATTCACATAAAATTATAGGTTCAAAATTAATATTTTGATGGTTTAATAGTGCTAATATAGGTGGCATTTTTACGTATCCCAAAGTATTATCTAGCCATGACTAAAGAAGTGGTTGCTTCTTTTGTGAGGTCGTCTATTTCATTGCAGGGTAGTTGTGATTTCTTACTTCTAGATTTCTATAGCTCCCATTTGTTGGTTCTAATTTCCTTTGTGCATTTTCCACATAACAGCCTTTCCAATATTATTACTTCTCTCTACCCTTGCCTGGGTTTTCTCTTCTTCATTCTTAACATTTTGGTTTCCCTTAATTATTACTCAAATTATCTGGATGCTAAAATTCTCATAATCTTAATTCCCTTCTCTTAAACTACCGTTCTTCTCAAAATGTGATATAGAAGTAACCACAGTATTTATAAGTCCAAATTACAATGGATGTATCAGCTTCCCTGATTTGAACTTTATTGTAATAGTGATATTCAAGGTTGCATTATTTAAAAAAAAACTGATAATATGTTTTTGGATTATATTAAATTTATGATCAATTAAAATCAGATTTTTTCCAAGATAGGTCTCCTTTAACTTATACCTATGAAATGTATTATTTGAATTTAAATGTAGAACTTTATAACTATCCATGAGAAATTGGGTGTGGCTCACAATTGGTTCTCTCACAATGTCCTTTCACACAGAATCATTGCCCAATTTTAGATACATTTAGTGAAAATTTCTTCTCTAGGAAAGATATTAGGGATGACTCAAGAGACCTCCCACTAAACAATGCTCTTAACTGGGGATCAGGGATGGATTTTGCCCCTTAAGAGACATTTGTAATCTCTGGACACAGTTTTCATTGTTATGGCTGGGATGGGAAATGCTACTGGCATTTACTGGGTGCAAGCCAGGGATGTTGATAAAGAGCTAATAATGCACAGGAAAACCTCCCCCAAACAAACAATTATCCTGTACAAAATGTTAATATTTCCTAGGTTGATAGTCATAATACATATCACCTGGCTCAAATAATGTGCATCAACTTGCCAATTATCTTTAAGTGGAGATTAACTCAATAAATTCATCTTGTTTAGGAGAAGATCATGAGAAACTAAGTTGCCTTGCAAACAGGATACAGATAATTTTCTCCTAATGTGTCAGTGGATCTACTGAGAAAGCAAATTAATTTGTAATGATGTTTATTAATTACTACCATTTTTTTGAGAAAAATGGCCACAGTGCATCTATTTTTAAAAACAATTCTAATTTTGATTTATAGAATTTGAAACATTCTTTGAGTGTTACTTCTAAACTCAGGGCAAATCTTGCCTCCTCCATTCCACTGTCACTTCTTATTTTCTAAAAATGTCAAAATAACCAGTAAAATTTCGTGATCACATTAAAGTTCTCTTGGCTGCATATGGCCTTGTCAAGGACAGATAAGCTTTTGAAGAAGGGATCTATAAATCATTTACTCTTCACTTACCTGGAGCATCATTTCTCACTGGTACCCTATTTCTTGGAATCTGATTGCAAGAGGCTTACATATAAGTGTGATTTCTGGCCTGCTTAGTCTATCAGATAATCTCCAATAAGTACTCTGGTTGTTTTCTTTCATTTCCAGAAAGCCACTATAATGGACTTTTCCTTCCATTATCCAATAAGCTCACTCAATATCAGAATATTTTTCAGAGAAGTGATTCCATGGAACGGAACGCTGGAAGAGGAATGGGGAAGAGGAATGGAGAAGTGACTTAAGAATGAGAAAGAAGCCCAATAAGATTGTAGTATTTGATGAGTTACTGTTAGGAACAGTAGGGGCTCACTGCCACTTGAGAATTCTAAGAGACAGTGTAGAACAAGCTTCAGAATTGTTTTGCCTGAGGGCTAAGGAAATGGGGATGTTTATCTGTCAATTCCCATCAGTCTTTTTTTTTTTTGAAAGACTTCTAGGGGGTAAAAGGGTAGAGGCAATAATCCCAAAATACTTTATGTGGTGTTGCAAACTGAGTATAAGCTGTGGTCCAGAGAAAGCCTTCAAGCAAGGAATTGCAAGTGTTTGCAACTAGAAGCCGTTCGGTTCTTGTTCTCAGAGTGGTAAATGCTAAGGTATACAGACGGGATGTCTGCACATTGATACAGTTTCTTATGCATTTGTGACTTAATACTTTTACTAAAATTGAATGCTCTCTGTCATGTAAAATCAGTTCCAAACTTAGCAGCTCATTCTCCAAAATGATGTGGTTCTACTCTCAGACCAGCCTCTATATTTTCCCTTGATTCTGATGGTTTTCGTAGGACCACCATGGCTAGTTTCTGACCATCTTGCAATAATTTCCTACCATAACCACAATAGTCTCACAACTTCTATTCTTTTCTCAGTTCTAGTGGAATAATTTATCTCAGCATCTCTCATGTCACATTACTAACTTAGACCCAAAACCCAAACATGCCTTTCCTCAAATATAATCAAGGATCATTGGGCATGTGGAGTTACCCTCTGTGAATGGGGAAAAGGTAGTCTCAGAAATCAGATTCACCTCTTTCTTTATATGTTCTTCACAAATGACCCACTTTATGTCCCTCGCTCACTCTGAAGCTGTCTCAGATGCCTGCCTCTGGCTAGGAGAGGATGGGATAGAATGTATCCCTTCCCTACCTATGGAAAAAAACATAGAAAATGAACTAAAAGGTTTAAACATTATTTTGCTCCATGTCCCCAATGATAAATCTGAATTTTTTATATCAGGAGGTAGGATGGAAGAGGTTGTGCCTTAATATTGCTCACTTGCCTATATGCATTATATATGCTATAGGATCTCACCTCTAGACACATGCCCTGTGCTTGTGTGTGTTTCCCTTGGATCTTGAAGCGTATTCCACAGAGATGCCCTCTCACTTCTTTATACTCTTCCCATTTCCCCTTCAACCAGTCCTTTAACCTCATTGTTTGTGCTCCTCTCATGACATGGAAATCTTCACAATATCTAGTATGCATTTAAAGGCATGGCCATAATGGACTTCTGTAGGGTAA